GCTGGGGGCTGCCCCCTGCAGTGCCCCTCCACCTGCCGTGCTGGCCCAGTGCTCTGCTCAGGGAGGCCATTCTCCACCCGCATCAGGCAGGTGCCCTCATGGCAGCTGCGTCCCCTGGCCAGTGCTTCAGTCTGTGCCCTGATCCTGGTCCAGGGGAATTTAGGAAGAGTCCCTTAGGATTCTCTCTGGAAAACCTCCTAGGTTTTCCTCCCCAATAAAAAGAGACACACAAGGAAACCGCTAGCCATACCCTTGTCTGTAGGTGACACCTGCAGCTGTGTCTGGTGACCTGGAGACAGATATCAGCAACAGTTGAGGATAAGGATGGCACTACGAAGTCAAACAAGGGACCCTGTCTTCTGGCCACTCCTCTGCATTTCTGTAATGGTCCTTATTGTTTAGGTCACTATTAATGATCACCAAAGGCATCTCGACCCATACTTTCCTCCTCTGTCTTCACAGCCCTGGACCAGTCCAGGCAGTGACACCCCCATTTCAGTGTCAGGCTCACCCCATTTACTCTCAAGCACTGCTGCCACCTTCTCGAGGCAGCCATTCTGGGGCCCTGCTAGGTTGAAGGTGGTCCCACCCCCACTGCCTGTGTTGCTGTACTTGTGTCACTGGAAGCTTGCAGGCCTGTGTGTCCCAGGAGGACTTTCTCTAGGACAGTGGCCCTGGCTCATTCATCATGGACCCACCGGACCTGTACACAGTAGGTGCTCAGGAGATATGACCTGAATGAATGTCACACTGGGTCCCTGCCTTTGGACCTTGTGTGCTTAGTGTGTGCTATGGACTGAATTGTGTTCCCCCCAATTCATATGTGGGGTCCTAACCCCCAATGTGATTGTATTTGGAGATGGGGCCTTGGGGTCTGATAAGGTTTAGATGAGGTCGTGAGGGTGGAGCCCTCCTGATGGGCCCTTTAAGGAGAGACCCCCACAGAACGTGTTCTTATTCTCTCTGCCACGTGGGGATGCAGTGAGAAGGTGGCAGTCTGCAAGCCAGGCAGAGAGCCCTCGCCAGAACCCCCCATGCTGCACCCTGGTTTTGGACTTCCAGCCTCCAGAACTGTGAAAAATAAATGCCTGCTGTTTAAGGCACCCAGATTGCAGGATTTTGTCAAGACAGCCTGAGCTGACCAAGTGTGTCCTTGCCACGTGGCTGACTGTTGCTTGGCCTGGTGGTGTGGGGCATGATCTCCTAGGCTGAGCCGCTTCCTCCCAAGGGCAGCTCCTGTACCTTCTTCCTTTCTGAGCCTCTCCTTCCCACACACCATCAGTGGAACACTGGGTGGCCTGCATGGCCTGCTCTTAAATGCCCCCGGCTCACCTGTCAGGGGCCCTCGAACAGGCCCTTAGGGTTGGCAGTGCTGCAGGGACATCCCAGGCAAGACCATCCTCCCCACTGATGACTTCTGCCTAATGCCGCTTGGGAGGATGGTGGCTGTCAGGGACTATCCCAGCCTGGATGCCCCAGCCCTGTCTGGACTGCTGAGGCTGGGGTGTGGAGTCTAGGTCAGTGCTGATCTCCCAGCTCTTGGGAGTGTGGCTGACATTTTCAGAGCCTCCGTGGGTCACAACATGCCCTCCTGGGCTGCATCAGAGTCCAGCCTGGTCCTCAGGGTCAGCCTGGAGGCCAGGCTCAGGTGTCACGTCCAAGGGGATGAGCTAGGCAGAGAACAAGGATGGATGGGAGGCTGAGCAGAGCTGCAACTCAGGGGAGGGCGAGGCAGGCTTTGAGTTGAGAAAGGGGCCTTAGATGGTGTTCAAGACAGCAAGGGCCTCAACCAGGTCTTTAAACACACTGGAGAGTGGGAGGTGGGGTAGCGGGCCAGCCTGCCCGGATACAGCACTGGCCTGTGGCAATTGCCGCAAACAGGAGGGGTTCCCTGACTGTGAGCTCACTGGTTACAGGTTACCAACTGTGTGGGGATGGCCCTGGGAAGGTCTCAGGCTGAAGGATGAGTCTGAACTGCCCACACTCCTCCCTGCCCTTGGTTGAAGGCTGGAAGGGCTGGGTCAGAACGCTCGGTGGCCACGGGTGTGCAGCTTCTGCCATGAATGGGCAGTTGCTTGGGCCAAAAGGAGGCCAGAGGAGGAGGCTGCAGTGTGCAGAGAGGAAGGAGGCAGCCGCTTGTCCAGGAGGGCAGGTCCTGCGACAGGGATGTGAGGGGACCAGCAGGGGTCTGGGGGGATGAGATGGGAGACAGAGCGCAGTCCAGGATTCTGCCCCCAAGTGCTGCTGACACTCCTGCTTCTCCCAGCCTCGGCCACTCCGCAGGCCCTGGGTGTGGGGGATGAAACACAGCGGAGGGGCACAGAGGGACTGGGAGGGAGCGAGAACTCTGAGCTGCTGTAGTGCAGAAAGGTTTAAAACCCACTTCCCCTCTCCTGCCCCTCAGCGAAGCTACTTAACAAACAGGACATCCTGAAAACAGAGAGAAGGAGGCCTCTGTGCTTTGGGTGTGTCTGTCTAGCCCTATTTTCCCTTGGTAGCCATGATCGACTCTACCAGCCAACTTGATAACCCCCTTTGAATGGATTATCAAGGGGAAATAGTGTTGATGCCACAAAATGGAGACAGAGGCTTATGGCCAGAATCCAGAGGATCCCCTAGATTCCTCTGAGTACCTCCACATCTAGCGGTGACATTAAATGAAAGAGGTCAGCAGGATCACAAAGGGCTCAGGTGCCCAGGAACAAAGATGGGAGCTACTCCCCTGGGTTAAGTAACCTGACTGACCGCAGGACAAAGGGAAGATGGAGACCAGCGAGGAGAAGCCATTCTGTAATTGCGACAGAAACAGGGACAGTGGCCTCTATTTTTCCTTTCCTGCTCTGTCATACAGGTTTTATTTCACACAATTTTAATTTTCTTTCCTCTCTCTTTCCCCCACTCTAAACTAGAGCAGCAGTTTTCAAATGTTTTAGTCACAGGACACCTTTTATATTCTAGAAAATGATTGTGGGCCTCAAATAACTTTTTTTTATGAGTTATACTACCATCTAGCATGGTAGAAATTAAAGCCAGTAACTTTTTTTTTTTTTTGTCTTTTTGTCTTTTTTCCGTGTCCGGCAACGGATCGCAACCCTCAGTGTTGCCCCCGTACCGGACCGGGGACCGGCAATGGGATCGCAACCCTCGGTGCCGCTCCCGCGCCTCGCTCAGCCAGTGAGCGGGAACCGGTCTGTATGTGGGATCCGAACCCTCGGGCGGGAGTGCTGCCGTGCTTCCCAAGCGGCGCACTATCCAGTGTGCCACCGGGCCGGCCCTAAAGCCAGTAACTTTAAAAAATATTTATTCAATCCATTACATATATATTTTTAGTGACAACTATATTTTCCATTCCAAAAAAATTGACTGAGTAGAAGCGTTGTATTGTTCTGCATTCCTGCAAACCTTTCATGTCTGGCTCAGCAGAAGGCAGCTGCATTCCTCTAGCTGCTTCTGCATTCAGTCTGTTGCAGTATGGTATCTTGGGCAAGGACAATCAGCCTCCCCAAATGTGTAGTTGGGAAAGGGAGGACCCTGAAGACCCCCGGGGGGGGTCCTTGGACCACACTTGGAGGGCAGCTGACTTTAACGTTCTAGAATATAGAGAGAACCTGACAAAACTAGGGGAGAAAGAGACACCTTTAAATATCCTAGATGGAGCTGGAGGAAGTAACTGATGAAGCAGCTTAGGGTTGCCTCCCTATTCCCTTAGGGGAGGGATGAGCTGCTGTTTTGTTAGAAGCACTGTTGTATTGTGTGAGATAGGAACCTCACTTTTGAGATGCACGCTCGGGAAGAAGAGTTATGTCAGACAGCTAAGGAGCATGGTGCAGTGGACTTGCCTCAGTCTTGGCTACCCAGCATTGGAACTCCCTTCCTTTCCAGACAAATCCTCTATCGAGTGAGTTTGGGCAGAGTCCTGCCTCCTCCTACCAGAGCTAAAGGAGCCAGGCAATCTTTCTTCTTGAGTTTAGGAATCTACAGAATGAACACAGACCTGAGACTTACCCAATTGTATCCTCTCTCCCTTAAGGTAGAAGGTTGAGGGATTACTCCTGGCAGTGGGGGTGTCACAGGTAGCAGTGTCATGCGGCCAGTGACATTGGAGGCACCAGCTGAGGCATCCTCATCAAATGGTCTCTGAAGTATGACCTTGACTGGGTTCCCAACAGCACAAAACAGAACCCCTGTGTGCTTGCTGGGCTCCCAGCCTTTCCGTCCATCTGTGAGCTGCCTGTATCCCATAGGCAGCTGAGGGAGAGCCCTGGAGAGGGAGGGTGTCATGGGCTGCTGCTGCCCTGGCACAGCTCCACTCTGCTGCTTCCTAGTCTCCCTGCACCCAGCCTCGACCTTTCCAAAGCACCCTGAATAGCCCACTGCAGAAATCCTCAGACTACAGCACTTTCATAAAACTGTCCTTTGTGGAGCCTCCAGGGCTTCACCACTGTTTACTGAGGGGTCTGAAGGCAGGGTCTTCCACATAACACCTCAAATCCTCCTCACATTGCTTTTAATGGTAACAACTTTTAAAAATTAGAGTGTTTTAAAACAGAGGGGATGTGGAGCCTCCAGGGCTTCACCACTGTTTACTGAGGGGTCTGAAGGCAGGGTCTTCCACATGACACCTCAAATCCTCCTCACATTGCTTTTAATGGTAACAACTTTTAAAAATTAGAGTGTTTTAAAACAGAGGGGAAAAAACAATCTACCATAAATTTTGCGATGCCTTTAGAATGATCTTGTAACATGGTAAATTCAGGGGCTGACAGCCCCCTATGCAGAGGCTACACGTGTGCTTGCACGGTCTGGCTCAGCTTCTGCTTCTGCCATCAGAAAGAACACAGCCCAGGGAATGCTGCTCCTTCAGCCAGAGACCCAGAATACAGGACAGTTGTGGAGCAGACCCGGACAGACCTGGCCTGGAGTGTAACCCAGAAGCCAACTTGTAGACTTCTCAGAATGAGAATTTGTAGTTGCAGTCCACTGAGATTTCTGCAGCAAAAGCTGACTGACCATTTTATAGGAGAAACTAGTTACAAAACTTGATACATGCTAAACATTGTGGACAGTGTTGCATGGCAATTAGGTGAATCCCCAGGCACAGGTGAGGTTGTATCAACTTTACAAACAACTTTCTACAGCCTGTCACTTGTGCTGTTTTTGCCTAGTGGTTGATGCAGGAGAGAGGCCTGACGAGATGGCCTACTGAGTGAGAAAGGTTGTTATATTCTAGATATTGGCCTTTCAACACCAGACACACACCTTGGGGTAGAACAGGTAAGGTGGGCTAGGTGGGTGTGAAGGACCCATCACAGTTAGGCAGAGTGCCCCAGGAGCCACCAAGCCCCTAGCCTGAAACTGTAAACAGGAGGGGCTAGTGATCCTAAACCTGCCTCCCAATTCCTCCAGCAGCGCCTGCTCCTCTACTTTCTTACTGACGTGTACGTGATGCCTTCTGGATAGTCTCAGGGAGTGGAGGGGGTACTGGGGAGCACTGGGCTCCTGAGAACACAGATAGGACTGAAATTTTAGGGGAAGGTCATTCTGAGGCCAGCAGCACCCTCTCATGCTTTTTGCACAACCACTCTTGGCTCATTCCCTCCCACAGTGCGCTGTTGTGACAAGCACTGTCTCTCTCTGTCACAAGGAGGTGCAACACATGCTTCTCACTGTGTACTCTGCGTAGGCAGGGGCCACATTTGAATTTCTCCCCACTGTATCCCCAATGCCTAGCACCATGCCTGGCTCAGGGTAGGTCCTCAATAAATATTTGTTGAGGAAATGAATGAATGAATCCTTATTTATGAAATATTACATCCACTAATGCTCAGGGCTGCTTCCCACAGTGCTGGCTGGTGTAAACCCACAGTGTGTGTGAAAGAGAGAGACCTCAGCTCTGTCCCAGCCAACTAAACTAAGCTGAGCAATGGTCACCCTCAGGCCTTCAGGCACTCAGGTTCCCAGGGCTGGCTTTTGATGCTAGCATTTGTTGCTAGCATGTGCACTGAGTATGTCATTAGAACATGTTCTACATAGGGCAAAAATAGTGAATCTAGGTTTACCTTTTTCTCCAAACCAAACAGGTTTGCCTTGTGGCCAGGGCAAAGGGTAGAGTTATTTATTTAATTCACATGGAACCCAATTTAGATCATTTTAAATAAGTTGCTAATAAAACTGGATCCCTCCAATATTCTCCCCAATAATAACATCTATGCTCCTTTTTAGCTTAACTTTTTTTGAAAGTGTTCATTCTCAGTCAGAAGAACATTAACTCTTGCAAGATCTGGCTTTTGCCCTTCTGATTGCCTGGTGTACTGCCAGTACCTAAATAAACATTGTACTTACCTAAACAAACAAACAGACAAAAATACCCAACCAACCTGAATTGCTTACAGATCTGTTGCTGACAGATCAAAGTTTGGACCTTAAAATAACACCTGATCCTGCTGGCTATTTTTGGTTAAGGCCACTCTCTCCAGCCTTCCATTGACAAGGAATGCTTTATATTATGACCAACTAATATTCTCAGATTTTTAGAAATGGACAAACCACTTGTTGCTTATATTGGTTGTATCTAATGAGATGTTACTACCAGTGGGGAAAAATCCAAGGTGCTATAACAGTGTCACTATATGGCCTGGTATCACACCAGAGCATGCCACTCGCTCCCAAAGAGTGATGGCTCCTCTCTTTACTAATGGGCACTAAGACAGATCTTAAAACTGTGCAGACATCCGTCATTTAACACCTGTATATTAAGATCCATGGGATTTTCAATTTCTACAGTCATGCCTAGTACTTTGATAAGATCCCACATTAGGTACATATTAATGTTTTATGCAGTCTTTAAGGACATCTGCAATAGACATGTATCTTCACATATAAACTTAAAAAAATACTTTAACATAATACATTGTACTGCAGAGAACCAGAATACAGCATATTATGCTGCTAAAATATTCATATAAATACTATGTATGTATGGGTTCACTCCATTAGAAAAATTCACCTATTAGACTATTAAAGAGCAAGTATCAGCAAAGCCCAAGAAAAACTATTCTAACAGTAGGAACACTGAAAGTAACAACTATGAGGTTTATAAACAAGTGGTGCGAAAAGGGATTTTTTACACTTGCTATATTACAACAGGCACAATCTGAAATACATTTTTAGACTAGCACTGTATAAAAATACTTCTTTAAACAATACTTTTCATAGATATAGGAGCACTTAAAAAAACCCAGCTGTGTAGTTACTCCTTTTGAGGACCTACCTACTAAAACAATTCAGCTTACTGTCCCCAGCTAGCTCTTAAGAGCACCGACCTGGGAAGCAGTTTCTCCCACACATGTACACACTGCACACAACCATATATTAAAATAACCTCTATCTATGGTGCGTACTAATGAGTCACTGATAGGCATCAATCACGAACAAGGCATGAGATGACGGTGTTTGGAGCCCATTTTCAGTTCCAGGTTTGATGGATAAACAAAGGGGCCAAAGCAAGGTGGATATTTGGGTGTCCATATGGTTTCTATTCCACGATGGGCCCTCCCTAGAGGAGGATTTAGTCTGGCATATCAATATTTAACTTGGGAGGTGGGGGGACATATTTTCCAGGGCTCTGCGTTATAACTACCCTAGCCTTCTTTCCAAACATTGGAGCAATTTTTGGAACTTCTGGAATTGATGTTTCTTCAGCATCTTCACTATCTTCATGATGGAGATCATATGAAATGTTCCCATATTCTCTTAGAAATGGGAAAATTTCAAGCAGAAACTGACAGAAATCTCTGCGAATACCAAACCACCAATGATTACCCCCCTTTCGCCTAAATGTTGTGGCCATTAAAGTTATTAACGAAAGCCAGAGGGGGACAAATATGGAGATGTAAGAGAGTGCGTTGTGACCATCCAATCTGTGAACCAGTAGGACCTCAAAAGTGAGCAGGGGCACGACAATCGTTATCCAGCTGATGGCCATGGTTACGTGCGTTCTTCGCTGCTCGGCAACCACATCCAAGGACCGCAGGAACAGGAGAGACCAGACGATGTAATACAGGACGACCAGGCAAAGGAACGACATAAGGATCCACAGGGGCACGAATACCACCAGCCACGGCCAGTGGATAATCCTGTCCAGCCTCAGGGCGATGAAGATGAACTGCAGGATGTTGACCGAGCACAGGATCTCCAGTTCCAGGGACCTATCATGCTGAAAGCCCCAGACGCAGGCGGCCACGGAAACAGGGGACACGAAGAAGAGTGGCATAAAGACCAGCAGCCAGAAGTGGGTCCCCCTCTCCACCCTGTCGCAGACCAGGACTTCGAACATGAGCAGCAGCAGGTGGATGCCCACGGCGATCAGCATGGCTTTGAACTCCACACAGGCCTCGCCCTCGGTGCGGTAGCGAGGGTTGCGGACCCAAACGCCTGCGCCCACCGAGGCGCCCGCGAGGACCAGGAGCTTCCACAGCCATATCGGGGCGAAGACGGCCCAGTAGCTCCACAGGATGATGCCGTCCAGGCGGAGGGGCAGCAGCACTGAGAAGAGCAGCAGGCAGGCGTAGATGAGGAACTTACTCGGGTTGAAGTCCTGGAACAGGCCTCTGGGGTTCATGGCGGAGGCCGCCGCCGGTCGCCCGGGCCTGCCCCTCCGCGTCGCTCCGCGCTCGCGTCTCCCTCGCTCTCTCGCCCGGCCTACGCCGGCTCCAGGTGGGCAGCGGCCGGGGGCGGGCCGGGAGGAGGCTGGGAGCCGCGGTGCGG